CTCCCAAACCACAGGGCATCATGCAGAAGCCAATTTCCAAATCAGCCATTTTATTCCATTGGTGACACAGAAGGCTCAGACTCGGCAGGAAATTCACCGGCCGCAGGACTGAGCTTGTCCACCTGATCATGTCCCATCCACAGGGGAGTAAGAGCACGTGGACAAGCAGGACTGCATTTGAATGCATAATTCCTGTAAATGTGTTCCTGTAAATGTGTTTGCAAGGCAAATGTATGAATTTCAAATAACAGACTGACTGTTATGTGTTGATCCCCCAAAGCAAAAGGAGTTTCAAAATTCCAATTCAAGATTTTTCTCTTGCCCAGGCAACGTTGCCCATAAGAATCTTCACAGGCCCTCCAAGAAGCAGATGCGGGTGTGCAAGGGGGTGCTGGCTGAGTCCCAGCATCTCCTTGGACCGGATGGCTGTCCCAGCCGTCCCTGGTCAGGAGTTGGGTGGACAACGAGATGACTAAGCACAGGAATTACTGTGTACACTGTTCTGGGCCTCCCAGACTGGGTTTGCAGTAGAGTGCTTGCTCCTCAACTGGCTGTGGCGATGGGAAGTAATCAGAAACACTCCTGCCCTGGCTGTGGCCACTTTCACCTGCAGGTGGGCCAGCAAGCAGGACCATATGACCATGTCAGCTGCCAGGAGATGCACGAAAGCGTGAATCCTGCATCTGAAAGGCAGTTTATTGTCAGTGTGGATTGAGTGAAAGGGGAGGGAGTATATACCCTGAGGTGTGGAGGTCAAGGGGAACCTCAGGTGACAATAGCTGCATCCTCTCCCTAGAACCTTAGTGCCCTGGTCATTTCACGGTCCCATTCAGGCTTGGTGTCTTAGTCCCTGTAACAAAACACTGTAGACTGGGCCGTTAAAATCAACAGAAGTTTATTTTCCTCACTTCTGGAGACAGGAACATCCAAGAGCAAAGTGTCGGCAGGTCCTGTGTCTGGCGAGGGCTGCTGCCTTGTTCACAGGTGGCCAGCTTCTCAGAAGGGGCCAGGGAGCTTTCTAGGGTTGCGTTTATAAGGACACTAAACCCATTCCTGGGGGCTCTGCCCTCATGCCATAATCACCTCTCAAAGGCTCCACTGCCCAATACCATCACATAGAGGCTTAGGTTCCAACATACAAATTTTGGGAGAACACATTCCAACTGCAGCACTTGGTCTCATGGAACTGCAAAGTTCAAGAGGTTGACAACTTTTCTCTTGGGTTAAAACACCGCTGGTTTGCAAAAGGCACAGTCAGCAATACCGAAAATATGAGCAGTTGTACTTAATGACAAACAGTATTCTCCCTATTTCACAGGTGAGGATGTTGACCTTCTCAAGGTTCTCACATAGCAGACAGTGGAACAGCCTGTGGCCTAACCAGTATCCTACACTGTCTCATTGCACCATTCTCTCTTCCTTAAAATCTTAGGCCCCTTTTGTATCAAGTGAAACAGATATGGTCTGATTATATGCAACATTAGGAGCTGGCTGGTTCATAAATCAATTTTCTCTAACAAAAAGGATTATCTTTTAGCAACTGAGCCTTCACTTGTTGAGTCACTGCACCCCAGTGCTAGGCATCATTTATGCAGAGCTGAACAGCGAGTTCAGTAATGGCAGCTAGTTGTATCCCAGAACTATGTGCTGCCGGGGTGTGTGTGTGTGTGTGTGTGTGTCTTCCCTGGGTTAAATTTGCTTATAAACAGCCCTTGGAACTAACCCAAGAGAAATCTCTTCTGTCTCCAACAAAACGGCTGGTCAATCCCTTTTGCCTTCCGAGTGCTCCTCCAGGAGTCTGGCCCTGCTGGCTTGGAGGAAGACTCTAACGGAGAAGACTCTGGGACGGTTGGGCAGGCTTTGCCCATGCTGCCCAGCAACCAACAGGCATTCCCAAGCCACCAGGCCTATGTGCCTTTCACTCTAATGCTTGATGCGACTGGAACCTCAAAGCAGGATGGGGGGAGGGGTGACAAGCAGGAAGAGAGGACAAGGCCTACTTAAACTGGGGAGCTTTGAGCGGAATGGAGATAAATAGCCATTGGGTTTAACAAAAACCCAAATCTGTGACAGAAAAGTCATCCTGGGAAGAGACACAAAATAATTCTTCTAAGGAATGTTTAGAAAAGGCAAAATCGGGTAGTTTATTTTACAACTCTTAGTTTACCTGTGGGTCGGGACTAAACCAAGAAAAGGGGTACATATATGAATGTAAGTCAGTAATTGCCTATATATTTCTAGTATATAACCCCTACTTTTCTTTAAATCGTTTAAATCTTTATTGTGGAGAGTATTACAGATGTCCTCCATTGACGCCCTCCACCCAGTTCTTACCCCCTCACGTTCAGGCCTACACCACCCTATTGTCAGTGTTTAAGGGGTATGCACCTATGGAAACAAATTCTTTGGCTCATTGATGAGGTACATCATCAAATACTCATTGCTGTCCAAGGCCTTTGAGAAGTTACGTGGTGAATCTTTCCCCTGATCAACACAAGCCATTTTTCCTTTTCATATTTTTAAGTGTTCTAAGTCCATTCTACTTTTGACTGCTGTACTAATTAAACACACAATTCTTCATTATTCCATTTAAAAATGGAGAATGTTAATCAAACTGAATGAAACTATCACTTTTTTTTTGGAAGGGGAAGGTCAAATTATTTACGATTTGTATAAACTTAGAGCATAAAGTGCAATACAGGCTAAATGCATTGAGCTCCATCTGACATAAAATTATAAAGTATTAGCTGATTCATTTCAAAACAAAACAATGAAATTCAGGAAAATCAATGATAAATTTTACTTTGATAAAATTAAAGTCAGGGATATAAAGACTGGGTCAATTTTTCTTTAATTTTCCAAATATCTTACTATTTTCCTACTGTCTTTGTTTAGTTTTAATAGGCATGTTATAGTATACTTGCTCTGGGAAATAATCTATGATTATAAATAAAAAGTATGCATTCATCAATTCTTAAGCACAATTTCAAATACCAAAGTGTCAATGCCAAATTTCTGATTTTAATGAAGAAAATATTTAACATTAAATAAACATTATTTCATTTATAATGCCAATTTTTAAAAGACATAGAAAATGAAATGTGGCAAAATTATTGCTTCCAAAGTTAAGCTGGCACAATCTATACAAGACAGAATTAAACCAAAAGCAAACTGCACCAAAGCAATTACATACTCAACTTTTATGCCTTTTTTTGACATTTTATACACATTTACAAAGCTCTGTAACATCTTGTACTCCTTATCTTGAAGGGGATGTCCTGCTACCTCGGTACTTAAATTCTATACACATTAAGATATTAGTGTGTTTAACCACTGGAATGATGTAAATTTTGCATGTTAAGCAGTAAAATAAATGCTTGGCAAATCTTACTGAGAAGTTTTATAAGTATATTATTTTGCCAGATAATACAAAAACATTCACAATGGAAAACCATGAGTATTTATTTTCATTATAACTTTTTAAAAATGCAACATTTCACAATCCCTGGAACTGTAAGACACCTATTTTTTTTTTTTTTTTAATTTTATAGAATTGAGGGAAGTCTTTTAAATGTCAGAATATACATGCCAAACATGATTTAGCATATAAGCACCAAAATCTGAAGTTTACAAAAATTGTTGAACTAGTAAGGTGCATTTATTCATGAATTACACTATTTGAGGGAAGAAACAGTACCCCAAACCTCATTAGTATTTAAGAAGTAGTTGAACAGCTTCCAACTTGTTGACAGCAAAATAAAAAAATATTGCTTCTGGTTTTGTTACACAAGTCATCTGAAATTTAGATTCAAATTTAAGTGCTGTCTTTTATTGTGAATGGCAGTCTGAGCATTAATTTTATGTCCCAGTTTATGATACTTCAGACACAATTATTATTTAATAACCTAAACAAAAGACTTAAGTCAATTAATGAACATCTGAGGTTAACAAAAAAAAAAGTTAGATCTCTGTATTTTTATCTAGAATTGTGTGTAGTTTTGCATCCAATAAAATTATTTTGTAAATATTATCAGTCCATTCAGTAATTAGGTCTGAATATGTTGCTATATATCTGGCAAAAACTGGTATTATGAAGTTAAATGAAGTAAACAGAAAATTAATTTTTTGATTTACAAATCAACATTATTGTGATATTAAAGCATGCCTCGTTCCAAAACACCTTGTCAACACCGATAACAAGGAAAGAGAAACAGATGCCAGTGCGGCTCTGCCGTGCGGTCCTGAATGGCCCAGTTAGGCTGGGGAAGGGCTGTGGCCTGGATCCCCAATTCCGGGGAGTCGCCACCTCCACCCTCACTCTGAATAGCTTATACAAAATCAAGTTACTCACATTGCTAACACAAGTCTCCCAGCAAGCTAGTCCTGAAAGCCATCTGCGTTTATATATTTATATGTTACTGTGTACATTAAAAAAAGAATTTTATTGTGCTTTTCACATATCTAAATTTTCCTATCATTTTATTTTTAGGTTTCTTGGAAAGGGAAGAGGAAGACTAAGAAAAGAGGTACATCAAGAGAGCCAGACTGTAAAGTAACACTACACACACAACTAGCTAGATATAATTTAAAAGATACTATTATCAAAAAGTAGTATACATATATATAAAAGAAAACAAAGTCTCCTCCCTTAAACCTATATTATTCCATGATAGATTTTCACAGCAACCAGCATATATATCAGTATATTTTTCACAATCTGTTCAGTTATCGATAGAGTATGCTTTTAGAATTGAAAGATGTCATTTCCATAGCAGCTAGATGTACTATTAGAGGAATGTGCTCAGAAATGGTACAGTGATTTGATCATTCTGATGGCTATTTACAGCATCTATTTACGTTAGCAATAAATAATCATGGTATCCAAAGAGAATGCTCGTGCACACGCCGAGATGGCTGCATGCTCTTAAAATATGTACATGCGGGTTCTCTGCTGTGGTCCTCAGTGGCAGGGACAGCGCGTGCCCCTCATCTTCTCCGCATCAGTCTTGCTTCTGGGGGATGCATCCTTCCATTTCCACAACCTCCGGCCAGCCTTCATACTTGTTCGTGTCCTTATTGTTCTTTATGTGCTGTCGGACACAATCACAATACAGCTTTAAAAACCTCTGCCGATTGCTTATCTGCAACAGCACAGTTTAGTGCATTCATTTCACTAACACTCATGTCAACAAGGAGATCCTATGAATTACTGTTCAAGCCCCAGCCAGGTGGCTCTGCTGGTTGGAACACTGTCCCGCACACCAAAGAGTTCCTCGGTCAGAGCATATACTCAGGTTGCAGGTTCGATCCCAGTCAGGACGTGTATGGCAACAGTTTGGAGTTTCTGTCTCACATCGATGTTTCTCCCTCTCCCTTTCCCCTCTCTCTAAAATCAATAAAAACATTTCCTCGGGTAAGGATTTAAAAAATTGTTCAAGCTATTAAATGGGGCCTGGCATGCAGTGGCAGGCCTTCATGTAACCCGCTGAAAGAACTAAGCATTGCAGATTTTTGTAAAGGATCACTCGTGAAGTTTACATTCTACTAACTTCTAAAGTGTTTTCAAACTTAATGGATTATATCAAAAGCTCAGTTAACATCTTTTAATAACCAATGCTTCCTAAAAGGCTTCAGGCACAAGTAATCACATGCCAGTGCATTGCCATGTAGGAAAAAAATTCCCAAGGACTTACAAAAAATACATGATCCTGTTGAATGGCGGCTTTACCTAAGTTTCAAATAACTGGGGTTAAAATATTTACCACACCATCCCCGCACGTTTGGCTTTGTCCATCGATGATTAAACCTAAGACACTAACCTGTTCAAAAGGACTTTTTGTTTTAATGCCTTTGCCCCCACAGAAGACCCAGTTGTCTCTGAAGCCCAGGGTGGTGATGGACGTGCTGCCCAGGTCCGCAATGAGCCGCCGCGCCTCATCGTTGAGTCTGAGGGGGAAAGAATAACAATAACACGGCGCAGAGTCAGCTTAGAATCCCAACTCACCCAGGGCCTCTAACTCATAACGAGGTAAAATGAGCAAACGGCAGCTTAAATAAGAAAACACACAAAAAATTTTTAGAGTAAGTTTGAAGTTTTTCTTAAGTATGCTACTATACAATATTATATAGTTATATGAGTCTCAGGTATACAATACAGTGATTCAACATTTCATACCTTATACATGATCACCCCATGATCACCACAGAATTCTTTAGTGACAAAAGACATGAGATCTAGCAATTATATCTTAAGCTCGTTTTATTAAGAAGTACCTCATCAATAAAGCATTTCGAGATACCTCAAGGCCTCGGGAATTCTTGTCCCTGTGACAAAAGTCCCACTTCCACCAGCAACGGGTGGGGACGCAGAGGACACCCCACCCACAGCAGAGGGAGGAATAAATAATCAAGCCACTCCGCCTGTGAAGAGGTTCCGGGCGGCAGAACAGGGCACAGCCGTTAGCTCAGTTCATCGCATTTCAGGGGCATCTGGGAAGTCTCAGAAAATAGGCGATTTCCGCTGAGAGAGCAGTGCAGTGCCGTTTTATGAATGTTTCTAAGTGAAATAGTTTCACTGACATTGTGTCTTTTGCCTAATTCAACTCAAAATGTGTCACCAATGTATAGAGTTCAAAGGTTAAATAAAACTGGCATATTCAACCACTGCTGTTTTCCTGGATAGAATAGAACAGGCTTTTCTTATTTAAAAAAATAAAATAAAAAAGTTAACTTGTTACTTGCTTTTGCTGAGAATTGAGGATCTTACATGGATAATTTGAGATTCTCGAGTTAAGATTAAAACAGCAGCTGGGTGACATGGCCATTAGGGCCCCCTGGCAGCTCAAAAAGCAGCCTCTGCACGTGATTAATGGGCACGCCCCTCGCAGGAGGCCGCGCGGTAAGCACTTTTATCAATGACTTAGATTTATTTTTTTATTTTTTAAATCAACCTTTATTGTTCATATTATTACAAAGGTTCCTCATTTCCAATGACTTAGATTTAGACATAAGAACCACTTTGGAGAGAACACAAAGCCTGGATCATGGAAACCTCCTAGGACAAATGTCAGAATCAAAGCCAACAGGGCCCAAGCGAGCGAAGTTAAACTTAACAAGGACACATGACGATAAAGTCCTTCATTTAGATGAAATAAAATCAAGTTCTGATTGGAGAGACCTGACTTGGCAGTGGTTAAAACGCAAAAGTCCAAGATGAAATGAAAAGATTGAGAATTTAACTTGACCAAAACTCAAGAGCCAAAAATGTGATGTGAGTGTTTAAAGAAAACTAATAGGAGTTTGCATGAATATTCAAAGAAATGTGATCTCCACACATGGTGAGCTAGCATCTGCATGGGGCCCTGGGCGGGCCAGACCACATCTGGAATGCACTGCTCCCTTTGGGCACTCAGTTTAAGATAATCAATCAGAGAAGGCCCCAGGAAGGCAGCCAGGAGGGTAAAAGGACCTAGAATATCACATGATAAAAGGTTAAAGAGCCTTCCTACTGAGCAGGGGAAGAGAAAACTAAGAGGCATGCCATTGAGCTTCAAATACTTGAAGTACCAATGATTGGGGGGAAGATATTTATTGTCTTATTGTTCCATTTATCCCAGCAAAGGACTCTCAGGCAGAATTTCGAGAGAGGCAACCCTGAGAACATAACATTCACACAAGAACAGTTTTTATGTTTTATTTCAAATAGAGAAATGACGAGTGAGCAGTTCATTTGTGAGCGGAGGAACTCACAGAGAAGCTGCAGGGGAATCTGGCCTTAAAGAGCCCTGACTTCAAAGACGCCATCCGTTCAGGCTTTGCTGAGCATGATGCTGAGTGCCTTGGTGTTCTCTCCAAAAGGAGCCGTACAACTTGCACCATAGGTTGAAGCCTGGCCTGAGGCTGCTTTTGGTGCATTGGATGAATGACCACCAATAAAGAGCATCACACACACACACACACACACACACACACACACACACACATCCCTTGCCTGTTCTTAGGCGTGGCTATAGCTTGTTATCAGCAGGAGGGGAACGGGGCTGATGTTCATTGGGTATAATAACGAACAACTGTGCAAAGGAGCAGACATGTATGTCGATTCAGAAAAGTAAGGCTTAAAAACACACTTTAAAATCTCAAATTATCCATGTAATAGCCTCATTTCTCAGCAACAGCAAGTAGCAAGTTACTTTTTGTTTTTTTTCTATGTAGTTCTACATAGGAAAATATAATAGCAATGGTTGAATATGCCAGTTTTATTTAACATTTGAACAATAAATTTAACAACTCTTCGGCGTAGCTAGGTAAACGGCACAAGGTCAGTGAAACGGCTTAGGCTTAGAAACGTTCCTAAGAGGCACTGCTCTCTTGGTGGAAGTCAGCAATAATGTGGCTACACATCACATATATGTATAAGAAATCAATAAATAGAAAGACATGCCATATTCCTGTGCGGAATGTGTAAATGAAAACCCTTTCAATTAAAATCTGTAAGAAATATAAACTTTTGACAAAAATCATCTGGAAAAAAGTATCATAGGAAATACTGTTTTTTGAAAAAGAAGATTAGTAGGTGGGAGTTGGCCCCACCAGAAAGTATTAACTTATTTTTATAAAATAGTAATTTTAAAAATTGAAAGTGTCTTATTGAAGCAGGAATAAATGGATGAACAGAACTGTAAAAACAAATTCAAACCTACATTTGAAAGAGCATCACAACGGATGGAACTTCTCTGTGGATGCCGCCAGCTCTGGGGCGGTGTAAGTCACTATGGGAGAGCTAGGAGTGGATTTTTAAACACCCAGGAAGTTACTGGGAGAGAAAGATCTACTAAATATCTAATTTAGAGATGGAAACATACTTCCTAAGTATAAAAGAAAAACTAAAAAGGAAAATCCACAGATTTGACTTCATAAAAATCAGTCTAAACTTTTGAAAGTCAAAAAGCACTATAAAGTAACAAAATTAAAAGCAAATAAGTGCAAAATTCTGTATCTAATATGATAAATGTTTAATATCCTTAATACATTAAGGGCTCTTACAAATCAAGGAGAATCAACCCGAATGGTCAGAAGACCATTTACAGGAGAAGGCATATTAACAAGATTCTTTTCCAAAACCTTTCAGGTTTGGGAACTTTTGAACATTAACAATCGGTGTCATGGAACTTCTAAAAGACATATTACTGGCCCAAAATTTATGACAGCGTATTTTTGCTAAAGTTCAGTAGTAGGTATTTTATTAAAGAGATTTTAAGTCATGACACATGTCTAAAACCTATACTGGGCATACATGAACAAATTTGAAAAAATACACAATGATATGGAAAAATATTCAACACATTAAAAAAATGCTACTATTCCAAACGTTTAGGGTAAAGAAAATATGTGCATTGAAAAATCTGGAGAGATAAAGTATTATCAATAGTTATCTTTGAGTAGTGACATGAACTATATCTTGTTTTCTTCTTTGTGCATTTCTATCTTTTCCAAATTCTTACAACTTCTATAATTTTAAGTAAAAGTTACAAACTACTATCTATTAAACTTTATGGAAAATAGATCACACTTATTCTTTCACAATTAATTCCACTTAGAACTTTTCTCTAAGGACATAATTAAAGGTGAATAAAATCACTTGGCAATAACAGGGAACTTTTTTTTTTCTTTCTTAAATTGCCCTAACCAGTTTGGCTCAGTGGATAGAGCTTTGGCCTGCAGACTCAAGGGTCCCAGGTTCAATTCTGGTCAAGGGCATGTACCTTGGTTGCAGGCACATCCCCAGTAAAGGGGGAGGAGGGGCAGAAGGCAGCTGATAGATGTTTCTCTCTCATCAATTTTTCTAACTTTCTATCCCTCTTTGTAAAAAATCAATAAAAAATATATATATATTTTTAAATTTTATTTTATTGTTGAGTTTATTATAAATGTCCTCCACTTTCCCCCCTTTACCTGGCTCCCACCCAGCCCAATCCTTCCAACAGGGATCTCTTAAATAAAGGAGGATCAACTGTGGATCAATCATGAAAATTCTATCAAAGAATGTTGATATAAGGGAAAACTTAAAGTTGTTAAAAAATAACATAAAAGAGAACAAACTTTACGCATAATGTGATCCTTCTTTCACAATAACATATACATAATGAATACACAGAAAGATAGAAGGAAACAAACTAAAAAAAAAGGTTAATAGTATTTATCTGGAACTCCCTTCTTACCTAGAAATTTTTTCAATAAAAATGTATTATTTTTATAGTTATAAGATATAGCTGAAAAAGTTGTTCAGCTTTGGAAGTTTACATACTTGGTTGCTCCATCATCATACGTTCCCATTAAGACGATTGTTCCATCCTGTATGGACTTCAGAAACTCAATAAATGGGGCCACATCTGAAGAAAAAGAAAAGATTGAGGATGTTTTAATGACCGAGTAACCATCAAGATAATCTGTAAAGTTAATAAGATAAAATATTAAGTTCATAAGTTAATAAATTCTAATGTAAAGTAACCAAAAAAAGATAAATGTTATGAACATATTAAAGAATTGTTTGTTCCTAAACTTAACATTAAGTTTGCTCCATCATGAACTTAAAATGTCCAATCCTGATTCATCCTAAATGTCATTGCACAGATATTCCAGGGGCTAAATGAGCTTATGATCTGAAGTAAGCAAGTCAGGGAGTACGAGAAAGGCTCATGAACTTCCTCCATTCATGTAAATGCGTTTGTCTGGGTACTTTTCTAAAAAGAGGATACACACATTTTATTCAATTCACAAAAGGGTCTGTAACTTCAAAGTATTATACAAATGTTTATACACACACACACACACACACACACCCACACACCAATTTCAGGGATCTTCCGGGCAGATCTACTTAGCATAAACAAATGGAAAGAATATAGACTAGGTTACTTTAAATTTGCTCAGTTTCTTTCCATAGCAAAGACTCCTAAGATTTTTCTCTAGCTGGTTGTATTTTATAATAGCAGTCTTGATGCCGAAAATATGTAGAGCGGCTAACAAATCATTTCTATTTAAATGCAAAAATGGCAGTAAGCTGCAACTATTTCTTAACCGGAGGCGTATTTTCAGCAGCAATGAATCCACCTGTGATGACAGACCGGGGCTTCCGGTCCCATTCTGCTAGCATGTTTCGGTGTAATAATTCATGGTAAGAACAATTATGCTTTAGAACCAACATCGATGGCAGCGTTTTAAGTTTACACAGTTTCCACAGCTATGAAAAGTTCTCCTAATCTCATTTAAAAATAAATAATACGTGGCCTCTTGTTAAAGCTAAAGAAATATTAGGAAAGCTGAATTGCCTGAAAACTCTGTTGGCTTCCTGGCCATGTTAGGGGATGGAGGGGGAGGTGCACAAAGCAGCCTTGAACTGGTAGATTTCCCACATCAACTTAGAGAAGCAGCAAAAGGTAAGTCAGTGCGGTCTTCCTTCAAAGTTGAGGGAGAAATCTTTTCTTTTTTGGGGGGAAGGAGCATCCTGCATCACAGAGCCAGCTCCTGTTTCCGCACGCTGGTGAGTGGCTGCCGCCTGCTCTCGAAGGGACCTCCTAACCAAAGGGGTCTGGCCTGTGCGCCAGAAAGACAGCTCTGTTCCTTCTCTCAGACACCCAGCTACTGTAACAACAATCCTGGTTACGGTTTACTTTTCAGACAAAAACCCTATGTAAAGAAGATCAACTCAGTCAGTTCAAAATGCTTTGTTATGGCCATCTTCAAATTCCTTTCTCTTTTTTACAATTTCGGACAGACACCTAAAGGAGCCCAAGCTTTGATGAGCTGTCCTGCAGAAAACAGGACTCAGATGGTTTCAATCTTAATTTTTATATCATTTTTCTTAACTATACGCCGCAATTTTTTTATATATTAAAAAACACACACACAAAACAATTTACAATATGACTGATAACTGGATATTTAGTGAAAAGAAAGTGAAACAAAATGAGCACAAAAATGGTGCCACAATGGCCCCAGCCAGATAGCTCAGGTAGTTGGAGCACCAAAGGGTTGTGGGTTCAATTCCTGGTCAGGGCATATACCAAGGTTGCTGACTGATTCCCAGGTGAGTCGTGTATAGGAGGCAACCAATCAATGTCCTTCTCTCACATCAATGTTTCCCTCTCCCTTCCCCTTTCTCTAAAAACCAGTGGGAACACATCTTCGGTGAGGATCTTTTTTTTAATGGTGCCATTATGCTCTCATTAATGGGCTACATTATACTGAGGTGATTAAGAAGGCAATACTAGCTCTGGCAGGTGTTGCTCAATGGTCAGAGGGTTGGTCTGCGCTCCAAAGTGTCTCAGGCATGCCGAAACCGGTCTGGCTCAGTGGATAGAGCGTCAGCCTGCGGACTGAAAGGTCCCAGGTTCGATTCCGATCAAGGGCATGTACATTGGTTGTGGGCACATCCCCAATAGGGGGTGTGCAGGAGGCAGCTGGTGGATGATTCTTCTCATCGATGTTTCTAACTATCTATCCCTCTTCCTTCCTCTCTGTGAAAAATCAATAAAATATATTTTTTTAAAAATAAAGTGTCTCAGGCTTGCTTCCTCGTCAAGGGCACATACCTGGGTTGAGGGTTGGATCCCCTGCCCCGGTTGGGACATGTACGGGAAGCAAACGATCAATGTGTCTCTCTCACATGGATGTTTCTCTCCTCTCCTCCCTTCTACTCTCTCTAAAAAATCAATGGAAATGGAAAAATCCTTGGGTGAGGATTAAGGGAAGGAAAAAAGAAGGCAGTGCTAGCAACAGAACGGTTACTTGTTATTCAAACTTACCTCCTCCCCACATGTCAAAGTATTTAGTGTCCAATACTTCTCCTGTTTTCCCTAAAAGAGATGGAATTCATATTGAATTATGCAACTGAAATATACTCTACTGTATAAAACAAGCATCTTAGTCAATGGCTGATATAAATTGTTTTAAGAAATCATTTTAAAACCTGAACTATTTTTCTAAAGGGTAATTTTGGATAGGATTTTCTCAAAAGTAAGTAGCAGCACACAGAAACCACAACAGACTGCAGACGATTCCAAGTTAAACATCTTTTTATAAAAATGTACGTTCAGTTCCCTTTCAAGATCTATTTTTTATTAACAATTAAATAGACAAATCAGTATGGAACCTTTTACCTAAGAAACTGAAGAAGGTAGAAACACAAAAAAATGTAGCTCTCGTTGTGAAGGAAGTAAAATCTTTCCCTACGTGATGGCCGTCAGGGGGGCTGGTGTCAGCCCCCTCACAGCCTCACGGGGCCATGGAGCCAGACAGAGACCAGCATGCAGGGCCTCACTTTATGGATCTGTGTTTTCAGATTTGGCTTTGTAAGAACACTCAATGTGTTCAGGATTCAATAAATGTTTTTATCTAGTGAATATGCCAGGAGAATGTGGACAAATACTAGAAAATTATTTCTTACTCTTCATTCCGCCCAACCCCATCCAGTATCCATCACCCTCTGTGTTTTACGCCCTCTCATTCATGTCAATCTACCTTCACACGTTAGGATTCCAGCATTTGCAGTGAGAATTCACCGGTTTAATGCTAGATTGGGTGTATCATGTCAATCCCACAAGAAGCTGTCCACAGGCTGCCACGGAAGCTGCTGCTTTCAACACAGCGAGTCACACACCCTCAGACACACAGTCCCCCCACCCTCACCCCCGACAGCTGCGTTTGTTTAGGGGCAGTAGGAAGGGGTGGGACTTTGGTGTCAAGAATGGCACTTTCTGACCTGACCCCTTATGTTAGAGCATATTTTCTGAGAGGAGCATGTGAACACCCATTGAATACATCCCAAAGCTAACGCAGGGATTCTTACCATTTACCAGGGCAACGTTGATCCCTCTTCCAACATTATTCTTAACACCGCTCATTAGCCTGCAGGGGAAAAAGTCAAGACAAATTTGGAATTATATATTGTATAAACATATATCCATAGATCAAAAAATAAAATTATGCAAAAACAAAAAAAGATTAGGGATATTATCTCTGTACTCATGTTTAGTCATGCAGAGGAGATTAAGTCAGAGGAAACAGCCCAACGTCTTTACAGCAATGTTCTTAAAGAAATAAAATTTCACAAATAAAAACATATACAAATAAGTGTTAGGGCAGAAGACTAGGCTATTTCTTGCTGCTCTGCGTCAGACTATGAAACCCCGTTAGAAATCCTAACATGTGGACACCATGCACGTCCTCTACACCATTTCTTCGCACTTTCTGCAACATCGAGTGTGACGAGAACGTAGAAGTGAGATGCTCCCCAAACCTTTCACAATCGGAGCAAGAAGAGTGGGGAGCACTCTTCCACGAGTGTGTCACCTAACTGTGCACATGCACCTCGTGACTGTCAGGGAAAAGGCTCTCTATGCTCAGGAGTAAACTGTACGCATATAATGGCTGCACCTAACCAGTCATATGTGGTCACACCTGAGGGAGCTGCACCCACGGGCATCTCACATACAAACAATGATGCGTGACAGGGAAGGCACCAGTGAGACATCTGCTTGTCGTCGGTTCGGTCTGTTCAATTAGATTTATTAAACTAAATCGTGGGTAACTTTAAATTAAAGGTAACAGTAATACTCCCAGGAGTGTGCTGTTCACCATTTACTACTAGCTTGAAGTTGAAGAGGAGTATACAAGATGAACATGCACACATTCACACGTGTCTAGATATTTATACTTCTATATATACATAGATATATAAATTTGTTGTAAGTTTTACTGACATAAAACATGTGTGATGCATAATTTCACAAATAACAAAATCTCTAATACCTTAGTACCTCCACATAGCCAACTGATTTCTCACTGAATGTGCTCAGTGATTTTCACAGCCCTCTTCTCTGTGGTTAACCTATGGTTGCAAGTGATGAATGAGTGCAGTTCTATCCCTCAAAACTAAGCAGCAAAAAACCCCAAGCAACCCAAACAAAAAGGGAAATAGACACGAATAGATATTTAATTGAAGAGGATATTCAGATGGGAGGAGGGGGGGACAAAACACAAAAGATTTCAACATTATTGCCATAAGGAATAGAAAATTAACTGAGATGTCACACTACAGGCCTATTAGGACAGCTAAAATAAAATTCAAAAGTGACACACCAAATGCTGGCGAAATACAAAGAAACTGTATCTCTCATACAGTTATTCCTCTCTGGTGGGAATATGAGAAGGGAAGTTTCAAAATGCATTTGCTCTGCTTCTTTCAGAAATATATAAGTGAGCTCTATTATTAATATTAAAAGGTAACAGCTGTGATCAACTTGTTACATTAGTAACTGTCACAGTGTCTTCTCTAAGTAGAGATCATCTCAGAGTATGGAGCTGTGTCTGTCAGAGCTAAGAAATAAAGGCAACACAGAAGCGCTATGACATGAGCTTCCCACAAGAGGGCAGTAGCTCACCAATTTTTGAAAACGAATTCATTCAGGAAACCTACAACTGAAGATATAAAATCAATGTTAGTGCTCACTCTTATTAACACAAGCTGAAATTTTCTTTTATCCTCCATGAATATGAAGGCTCCCCACTCCACTCACACTCCATATCTCTAAGCAAAAGTAAATATTTATATGACCATATAGAGTCTACATCTTCAAATATACCATGTTTCCCGAAAATAAGACATCCTCCGAAAATAAGACCTAGCACACGGAAAAATAAGACATCCCCTGAAAATAAGCTCTAGCGCATCTTTGGGAGCAAAAGTTAATATAAGACACTGTCTTATTTTTGGGAAAACAGGGTAGTTTTTATTCAAATACCTAACTATATAGTCCAGCTACTACTTAAAATGATTAGTTTAGATTTGGGTTTAACAAACTACAGCTCATGGTACAAATCTAGCCATGATGGGTGTTGTTTTATTTTTTATTTTACTACTCATGAACTTAAAATGTTTTTTACATTTTTAAATAGTTGAGTTTAAAATAATTATTCTTTACTTCTTGGCCTCAAAACAAAAATACTATCTGATCCCTTGATGGAAAAAATAAAAGTCCCTCAAAGCAGTCTAGTATATATTCCTATACCCAATATGAAGATTACATAAAATAAGTATTACTCCTAATATAAATTTCACATAAACTAAAACCAAATGAGCTTATATCTGCAATACATTCTATGGGTTCTTTAAATGCAAAAGTAAAAAAAGCTACAATTTTGTTGTGAGACAACTTATGTTTATACCCAGGATTTTGTGTTTCTAGCTAATGAAATCCACCTTCATCTCCATAATATATATCTCAACTGCATCTACTTAGCCTTAAAACCATGACACAGGAACCTATTTGCAACTGCTGTCCTGGGTCTGCATTAGGATTGCTCAGACTCGGTCTGTGATGTTCTGGGCCTGATCCTTCCTGTGGAGGGGCTGGTCCTGTGCAACGTGAGATAATTAAGAGCGAGCGCCCCTGGCCCCTTCCTCTCAGGAGCACCTCCACGCGGTGGCAACCCAAAAGCTGCCAGATCTTGACAAATGTCCCCTGGGGAGCAAAGCCAGCCGCATGGAGAAGCCCTCGTCTGGAGTAGCCATCTCCACGGTGAGCTGCATGTGCTCGAACACGTTAGGAAAATATTAAAATGTCCACTTCTGTATTTTTAACATCTACTGACATATTTCAGTGCGTGTGCACGCAAAGCCTGTGTCAAAGAGCTGGGAAGCCCTGGGCCTGGCCACCCCTCCTCCCTCCTCTGACCACTGCGGGCAGCAGTCACAGCACTGATGTCAACAAAAATGAACTCATGACATGTCCGTTCGACCATCAACAACTTCTCAAAGCACTTAGAACCATACCTCAGGCCTTACCGGCATGGCCGGCAGTGCCTGCTGGCCTGGCTCTATTTTTTTTCCTTCTTTTTATGGTTTTTAAATTCTGTATTGTTTAAGGGAGCGATTTTCAAACTTTTTCATCTCCACACATAAACTAATTACTAAAATGCTGCAGCACACAAAAAAATATATTTTGTGCCAATGTGACAAAAAAAAAAAAATAGGTATGAGTTTAATGGATTTACAGAAATAATAGTAATAGTAATTTTTGCTCCAAAGTGACTTTTTTAAAAACAGGCGCCCACACTTGTATATAAGGATTTCTGTACCAAGAATATCCAATCAGATGCAATCTTATTATGCAACCTCACCAATAAGATGCAACTCTTTTACATGACCTTTATATTGATGGTTCAGACAGTGCCTTCACACCAGGCGGCTGTTGTGTTGGCTGTTGCCACTTTTTAATTTGATAAGGGGAAAGAAGTCAGTGCCCCTGATTAAATAGTCAGGTATTATATGTTTTAAAAATTTATGCTGCACATGGATTGAAAATCACTGGTTTAAGGTGTACAGCTTAGCGGTTCAACAGTCATATACTTAAAAAAATTTTTTTTAGAGAGAGAGAAGGGACAGGAAAGAGAAACATCAATATGAGAGCGAAACATGGATCAACTGCCTCTCATACGCACTCCGATGGGGATCGAGTCAGCAACCCAGGCATGTGCCCTGCCCCGACTTCTATTAATAAATCCTTCCCCACTCGCCTGGCTCTTTCCCACCCCACCCTAGGGCCTTTGAGCATGTCCTTCCTTCTGTCTAGAATATTCTTCCCCTACTTTTCACCTGGCTGTCTTCCTTTTACCCTTCAGTTCTCAGACTAAATTCCTCTTGACTCACTGGATCTGAAGTTGGACACCTCACCCTCAGCTCAGTCACCTGGCCCCCACCGGCCCTGCCACTCCCCACACGGGCGATGCGCTTGCTTTTCCTGCTGTTTAGGAAATCCTAATACAGACCCACCAGCTGCAAGCTCCAGCTCAGCGGGACGACGCTCTATCATCACTTAATGAAGAAGTGAATGAATCAAGCTAAGAAAACTCACTCTTCCTTTCACTTTTTATTGGAAAAACTTCCAGTCTAGCAACATAAGGAACTGGAAGAAGTGCCAGTCCCTGCAGTGTCTCCACCAGGCATGCCTGGCCAGCCTTTACCAGAGATTCGATTTCATGGCACAGGCTTTGCTATAAAATCCCATCAATTATTTAACCTCTCATGGGAATGGCAGGATGATTCCTGGAAGGAAGATGAGTGAGTGGCCTGCCTCAATTTTACAGGGAGAGAAACTGAAGCACAAATTCCACCTGAGATGCCCACCCTGCTAGAACCAAACTCTACTGTCCACATGCTCTTTTCTTTCTGACTGTGGTTCTGGACAGAGAAACAAGTTTGATCTCTCTCTGCATTGAAGCTTACATACCTACTTCAAGTGGGTAGAGGAGATCTCCAAAGCCAATCTACAATGAGCGAGGCATGAACTCTCTTCCTATTAGTTAGAATCAAACTTGGACCTTTCTAGCCAAACAAAGTAAGATAGAAAAAAAAGTAAGATAGGAACATTCTGTTAACAGGCAGGATATTATTTAGTGGCCTGATGCACGAAATTCATGCACGTGTGTGTGTGTGTGTGTGTGTGTGTGTGTGCAGTGGAGTGTCCCTCAGTCCAGCCTGCACCCCTCCAATCTGGGACATCCCTCTCGTAATCCGGTACCACTGGCTCCTAACCACTCTGCCTGTCAGCCTGCTGGCCCCCAACTGCCCTTCCCTGCCGACCTGATCACCCCCAACTGCCCCCCACTGTTGACCTGCTTTCCCCCAACTGGAATGCCTCTCCTCCAGTCATCCCCACAGGCTTGATCACTCCCAACTGCCCTCCCCTCCTGGCCTGATCGCCCCTAACCAACTCTGCCTCAGCTCTGTCACCATGGCTTTGTCCAGAAGATCTCCCAGTCCGCATATTACCCTTTTATTAGTATGGACTAGAGGCCTGATGCATGAAAATTTATGCAAGAGTAGGCTTTCCTCCCCCCAGCTGCCGGTACCGGCTTCCCCCCAGGCACCCAGGACCCGGGCTGGCTTCCCTCCTTCCCTGGCTTCATCACAAAGGATGTCCGGAATGACATCCGGTCTAATTAGCATATTACCCTTTTATTATTATAGATAAGCTCTACAAACTGAAATCCAAGTACTTTTTTTTTTTTTTTTTTTTACAATTCAGTAAAACAGGACTATTATAATGAGAAATCAGAAGACAACAAATTAGCAATGGATTATCATGAGGGAAAAGAAAGCACACGAGTCAGGACCTTAAAGATCACCTAGCTCAAGCCTTTAATTGTACAAGGAAAGTGTTATTGTAAGAGACTCTAGGACCTGCCCGTAGCTAACTGAAAAAGAGACTAAGATAAATATTTAAAAGCTTCTCTATTAAAAAGAAAAGACACATGAAATGCTTGAACAGCCTAGTTTCCTCCCCCTCTATCTATAAAATTACCTCACTCTTTATTATCATCATTAATGGCACATTTGTTAGACAGATGAGTTCAAATAAGTTCATATATCTAATTTTCTAGGCCAGAGCAGATCCAAAGCAGCCAACCAAAACAGGTTTGTAACTTCCGAGGCAGGAACCGGAACCAACGGCAGCGGACAATGAGGTAGGGACTGAAAATCTGAAAACCATCCTTTGTACAGAGTGCTGATACAGGGAAGCAGTCAGCTCAGTGGCAAGCAGCTCCGTGCCGCATGGGCTTGAGGTTGTAATTGATGATCTCACACTTAAACAGGCAACGTTCTAACTCTTAAAATGAAAGGTGCTAGTCTGTAAGACAGTGCATGAGCGAGGGCATGGCTATCAAATAGGACAGCACTTTTCAACAGGTGTGCTGCAAGAATTTTAAAACATGCACTATCTGACTATTTAGTCAGGGCACTGCCCTTTTTTCCTTAGGTTGTCAAGTGAAAAATGACTACAGCCAACACAACAATAGCTGACTGGAGTGAACGAACCAAAATCACTTTTTATTTTTTCTGATCAGATCAGCAAAACCTATTTTTGGTATGCTGCAGAATTTTAGTAGCTTGTGTGTGCCATGAGATGAAAAGGTTGAACGCTGCCGAAATAGAACTTTGCAGCATGCAAATACCCTCCATGCTGCTCAAGCCAGTAGGCGCAGGCCATGTGTGGCTACCAAGCACTTGAGGTGTGGCCAGTGTGACCGAGGAACCAAACTTTCTATTTTAATTCACTTAAATGAAGTAACTTTTCCATATGATTTAAGAATCTAAATTAGCCGAAACTGGTTTGGCTAAGTGGATAGAGCGTCGGCCTGTGGACAGAAGGGTCCTGGTTCGATTCTGGTCAAGGGCATGTGCCTTGGTTGCAGGCACATCCCCGGTGGGGGTGTGTGCAGGAGGCAGCTGATCAATGTTTCTCTCTCATTGATGTTTCTAACACTATCCCTCTCTCCTCCTCTCTGTAAAAAGTCAATATTTAAAAAAAAAAAAAATCCAAATTAAATAGCTACACAGGTCTATGGCTCTAATATGGAATTGCACAGATTTAGAGAATTCACTTAAGAAACCCCTCATCTGTCTGGATAAATATGTCACTCTAATATGAAATTTAAGAACTTTAAAGGTTCCTTAAAAGCATGGGAAAACACGTGTAATAAAAATGGAAATCACTTTTGTTTAGTAAAAGCAAGCCCGATACATTTCCCAAAAGACCCCTGCACCAGGCTCAGGGGTTCACAGCACATCTGTGCTTCCGGTGGGCCAACACTCACACGTTGTCCTCCAGGCAGATTTTGGGTCCCACCACATTGGCTGCTCCACTTGCCATTTTAAAAGCAAAATGCTTCTCAGGACAAGCTTTTGAGATCCCACATTTGTATCTGGGAGGTTTTGTAGCTTTGAAAAAGAAAACAGATTAAAAAAAAAAAAAAAAAAAAACACAATGTTAACGGACTTTATAATCAGTTTGTTTTAAATCTCAAACTACAAGAGAATTTACATCACCGAGATACATTCATCTTAAAACACATACTAGGATTTTTTTTTTTTTCTGGGGGTTCCAAAGACCCTGAGCTTCTAAATAAAACAAAAGCATTGAGGAAACAAGCTAAAAACGGACATAAATGAATCAAATAATATGATCTTGATGAGGGTAAATATAATCTAATTATTTTTAAGTTTATGGTTTAAATTCAGGCTGGAGGGATAGGCTTGAATTGTTACTTTGCATTTTCAGTGCATACCTGCACAACAAATGGTTACAAACTAAAAAGCCTAATGCATTGTTGAATAATCTGCTCAAGTGCTAGTTCTCCTTTTACACACTTCCTGTACTTAAGATACTAAAGCTAAAAACATTAATAAAAATGATATTCATTATGAGTAAATACCCAGAATAGTGGGCTATCCAATTGAATATCATCCTTGTAATCTGAAAAAGCAATTTCTAAAACAGTTTTTGCTCACACTGAAACATTTCCACTGTTCGAATATAAGTTCTCTTATGCCTAAGAAAAAAATTAGAAGAAATCATCTGCAAATTATTGGGATGAAATACTTACAACGTGTAGCTGGGTCCAACGCTGACCTTGCTAAGAAAAATAAAGTTATCTTTGTTAGTAGGAATAAGGCTATTGGCAAGTAACCACTTTTAAAACATTTAGAGCTAACAGGCCTATAAAAATAAAAATGAATATTGCTCGGTATATATTAAATAAAACATAAATATCACTTTAAAAAAACGGTGAGAAAGTAACTTTAGTCTACAAAATTCAGAATATAAATAATTATGTACAGAAATTATGGAGGGGTAGTATTTTATTATAGATAGAACATTTTATATTTACTCTACATTTTTTATTTTATTTTTATTTAAACATTTAAATCCTAATCAGAAAGTTATTCTACAAACTTACCCATATTTTTTTAAATTATTTTTTCAGCGTTATTGAGATATACCAGTAACTGACATTTAACCTTGTGCAGGTTTAAGGTGCACAACAGGTTTATATATTTATAAAACTGCAAAATGACTGCCACCATCATATTCACTGCCACCTCCATCCCCTCAGAGTTACCATTTCTATGTGGTAAGAATGATCTACTCTCTAACAACATTCGAGTACATGGTAAAGTATTAATAGCTATAAACACCATGCTGAACATCAGATCCCTGAACCTGTTAATCTTATAACTGGACGTCACACCCTTTGAGCAATACCTCCCCACTTCCTCCACCCCCTCTCCCCCTGGTAAACACCACTCCGCTGTTTCTATGAGCTTGTTTTTTTCTGATTCCACATGTAAGTGTTATCAAATGTATTTCAAACTTCCCTTTAAACCTTTAAATGACTTTAAATACATACCTGGTGACTATTAGGGTACTTAAAAGTTGTTGCTGCAATACGGTGTTATGTACATCTGCATATAAAGCCCTGGAATATATACAGAAACCTACCCTTGTGCTTAGGCTAGGAGATGTGGGGGTGGAGGGAACACAAGAGCAATGGTGGTGATGGAAAGCTTTTCTCTACAATAGAAATGTATTGGCTGTAATAAAGAAATTGAGGTCATTACTAAGAGTTTTCTAATTTATCAGTTCAAAGTAGTCAGAACCTTCTGATCAAATCTTAACTTGATTTCAGCAGATCTCAACCTGACCACGTAGACTGAGCTTTTTTTAAAGCACTAACTAGCTGAAACCAGTTTGGCTCAATGGATAGAGCGTCGGCTTGGGGACTGAAGGGTCCTGGGTTCGATTCTGGTCAAGGGCATGTACTTTGGTTGCGGGCATATCCCCAGTAGGGAGTGTGCAAGAGGCAGCTGATCGATGACTCTCTCTCATCGATGTTTCTAACTCTCTATCTCTCTCCCTTCCTCTCTGTACAAAATCAATAAAATATATTTTAAAAAATAATAATAAATAAAATAAATAAAGCACTAACTAACATCTGATTCTAGCCCAGATCCTCAATAGTTCTGTGGGCAGCCGTTTCCTGATCGGGCTAATAAGTATGCAGTACCGTAAGTGTTTGCCAGCTGTTGGACTATAAATAGTTACTTAGTTTTTATTTCTGTACTATTTTAGATAATTGTCAATTTCCTGTATCTAAGTCCAAAACTCTAACTAAAGAACAGAAGTTAAAGCTGAAAAATATGTAAATGTATAAAAAGAGAAAAATGACTAAGTAAACGAAGGCTCATAACCCTATTGGACACTCAGAATCTTATGCACCACTGGGGTCCTTTAAGGCACAGTAAGAGGAAAGGTCGAATGCATCTGCACTAATAAAAGAGAAATATGCAAATTGACCATAATTGACATTTAACATTATGCAGGTTTTTGACAACCACCAGCCAATCAGAAGTGGGTATGCAAATTAACTTCATCACTTCAGTGGAGACTGATGGCAGGGAGGAGGCAGCTCCCAGCACAGCCTGCTTGGCCATCGCTGTGGTGACCTGGGAGCAGGCAAGCGCAGCCATAGGCGGCACCCAGCACAGCCTCAGTGACCCGGGAGCAGTGAAGCACAGCCCAGGCAGCACCCTACACGGCCTGCTTGGCAGTCACTGCAGTGTGGAGCAGGCAGGCCCCACAGAGAGCAGAGAACCACGGGGAGTAGGCCTAACCCATAAGTAGGACATCCCCTGAAGGCTCCCGGATTGCAGAGGATGCAGGTCAGGCTGAGGGACACCTTACCCACCCCCAAACTCCTGTGCACAAATTTCGTGCACCGAGCCTCTAATTTGGAATAAAATAGAAAACAAAGCTTATCTGTAAGAACTAAAAATACTCATGGATAAAAAATAATAAAAAAAATTTAAAAAAGACCTGAAGGAAACAAAAAATGACCAGTTAGTAAATTAGGGTACTGGAATTACTGGGGCTTGTTTTTTTCAAATTGGCAAATTATGTCATTTTCCCTAATGTTGGGGAAGAATTATAGAGATCATCTAGTCCAGTGCTCTCACTTTTATAAATGAGAAAGCCCAGAAAGTTGTAACCAATGATTAAGCTCCTGAGAATTAAAAATTCTCAATTTTACTTTGTCCTGAATGAACATGTATATCAAATTCAGGTTTTAAGATGCTGACAGGGAACCACTGTTCAAGTCAGGAATTCTGGTATACCTAACATGGTAGCAAGATAAGAGAAAGACAATCAGGATGGGGTAATATAACATAGCTCATTCACATATGCTAGGCACTCTACCAGCACTCCTGCATATAGTATTGACATGAGCATCGTCCTTGTTTTAAAGAGAAATAAATGGAACAGAGAGGCTTAGTGATTTGATTTGTTCTAAGTCATAATAAGTAATTGGCAGAGATCATTTTCAAAGCCGTATCTCATTCTAGCATCCACACTCATGTTGCACCATCCCCAGAAATAAGACTGTGTGGGGCGTATGATCACATGGAGCTGAACAAGTCTTCTGATTGTCGAGTGGAGAGCAGACAGCAGAGGGTTCAAGACTTGAGACAAGGAGTCCACCAGGATGCTGCTGAAGTAATCCAGGTAGAAAAGGAGAGCAGCCCGAACAAAGGTAGTGAAGGTGGGCTTGAAAGATAGGCAGGTTCAGAACAAACTAAGGAAGCAACACAGATGGACTTGGACATGGTCCAGATGGAAGAATGATGGAAAGAGAGGAATCAAGTTTGTCTCTCAGACATCTGGTTTTAGAACCATTCACTTATTCATTCACATGAGCCAATTGGGGGTGAGAGAAACATCATTTCTGCTCTTAAAATTTTTATAATCAAGTGAGGAAATGGGAGTGGAGGGTGGATGATGAGTTCTGTGTTGGATTTGTTAATTTTCAGATACTGGGAGAAGACCCTTGTGAAAAAGTCCAGAGGCCAACCTTAAATGCGATCTGGAACAGATATAAACTAGGAAATTAGCCAATGATGGGTGGGGCCACCCAACAGGGGATTTAAAGTGAAGCTAGGGCTGAGGAGAGACTCTCAGAGACACCGACAATCACCAAATGCTCAGAGAGAGAGTCTGGCTGGAGAAAGGGAGGCAGAAGCAAAAGCAGGGATGAGTCTCTGCAAGAGTCCAATTTGTTTGTAAAACTTAACAAACATAAAAACAGTAAATGCTACTCATTTCAAAAACTGTTACTGGGATACATACAATTTTGGGAAAAGCGGTTTCTTATTCAACAGGCTTTTAAGTAAATAACAACACCTCCATTTAATTTGTATATTAAGTAAAGATAAAGAAGCTTATGAAGGACTTTTCTTTCCAGATGAGAACTAATTTTTATCCAATATTCATACAACTGAAGGTCCTGTACTAGGCCTGCAATTCTGAGAATTTCAACACCTGGTGGCCGAACAGGTGAACTTTCCTTAGTAAGACGGGATGTTTTCCACACACAGGACCTGGGCACATCAAACACAAAAATCCTGCCTTTTCTGCGGCTTTTATTCCTCAAACTACCTTGAAAGCTTTAATTCTTAATTTTTTTCAACATTTTTTTAGTTCGAGGAAAAATACTAATAAACATTCCTGATTTGGTCTCATCAGTGAATGTCTTTCAATGAATCAGGCCGAAGAAATCATAATTATGGTACACTTTAGTCTTTAGTAATGTGAGGTAACTCATGTATATAATATTTCAACCATTTAAGTCTGAAAGGGGAAAGAATAAATCAATCCAATGGAACATTAAGTACTTACTGCAGCAATATGCAAAAATAATCTGGACTGTTTTCACTACTCTCACTAGAAGCCAGGTGTCCATGCTGAAAACTAACACTACCTTAAATCACAATCATAACTGTGGCTGGCAGATTGCATCCATGTTGATATCCTGGTGGTGACAGTGTATACAGTTTTACAAGACATTACTCGGTCTAAGTAAATGGTATATAAAATCTCTGTGTATTATTTCTTATAAGTGCATCTGTATCTACAAAATAAAAAGTTTTGTGAAAAATTGTGTTTTGTTTTGTTTTTTTAAATCACAAAGTCCTTTGGTAAAACTGGAAAAACAAGCACCTCGCCGCAGGGTGACTCATCCTCCCCTAGCTTATCACTGGTCATGCGGTTTGGACCTCTGATCTTTTATGTCACCGGTCAGGCGGTGTAGAGCCCCTGACCTTTCCCTCTCTGAAGATAACATCGAGGCCTCAGTGTGTTTCAGCTCCCGGCCCAGAAAAGCAGCAAAACCAGACAAGGGACACCGTGGCTGCCTCAGAACCAGCTGCATTGACTAATGACCCCCGCCCTGGCACCAACCACTCCGTGGAGACCTCCACCCCGAAAGAGCACAGCTGGAAAGCTGACGGATACTCTCTTGAAGTGGTTGGCAAACTGCGGCTTGACAGCCACATGCGGCTCTTTGGCCTCTTGAGTGTGGCTCTTCCACAAAATACCACGGCCTGAGTCTATTTTGAAGAAGTGGTGTTGGAAGAAGTTTAAGTTTAAAAAATTTGGCTCTCAAAAGAAATTTCAATCGTACTGTTGACATTTGGCTCTGTTGACTAATAAGTTTGCTGACCACTGCTCTATTAAGACCCTCCCCTGAGATTTCCACCTGTAAGAGATTTTCATCAGGACGAAGGACCCCGTGTACTCCCAATCCCTAAGGGACCCCACGAAGCTTACAACCAGGGGAGCAATGGGCAGCAGCAGCTCGTCCAGGGCTCCCCCCACCCGAACCTGTCTCCAAGGCCCCTTTTCTCTCACTTCTCAGTGAGCCAGAGCAGCCCAGCCTCGGCTCTCCTGTTGCTACTTCGATGCAGGTCCTTGTGTCACTGTCCTAAGCACATTTTTGCTGCCATCATGGACCCAATACCCTTTGGCTCAGTGCTGTGCAGCTCTTCCCTTTGGATATCCCCATCTCCCATCCCTTTTCCTTAAATAAATGCAGTTTTTCTTTAATCGCCTCCTGAGATGGCTATTTAGCCTGCCACTGCGCCACTGACTTTTTTACCTTTCAACTACTAATTGTATACAAAATCTTTAATTCTTCCTTTCTAGAAGTAAGTTATTTTATTTTTCTACAAGAGTACTATATAATCCCAATTTATAAAAACTATTAACTAAGTTATAATATCAGCAAGATGAAAAACAGGGTAATATTCACCACCAAGAGAATTATAGTTACTAATGACTTCATAAGTTATATAAATGTCTACTCACTATGTTGTATACCTGAAACTAATATAATATTGTATGTCAACTGTAATTGAAGAAATTAACAAAATAAAAAAACAAAACAACAAAGTTAATCTGATGGGCCCTCTACAATACTGAATTACAGAAACAATCTCAATGTTCAGTTAAATTCGTTACCCTGTGGTAAATTAAATTAGATGCTAAACAAACGGCAAAGACAACCATATCTCCATCTTTGCTCAATTATTCTGAAAAGAGAAGTAAAATATAACCATACAAATTCAATTTTCACCAATTCAATAGTCTGGAATCCAATAAGGTTTGTGGATACAGTGTACAACTTAAGTTATGCCTAAGCATGCCTGAGTGAAACAGCTAAAACACACTGTAAAGCCCGGCAGTTACCAACATTAGGAAAAATCAAGATGAAAAATAAGAGAAGCAACGATTAAAGTAGCTCAGCATTTGTTCATAGCTGATGACCAGCAGCTTTTCAACTAATACAGCTTTCAATGAATCCGATCTTGGAAACTCTCTCTTTCCATGTCAAAATCCTAGTCCTCCACTATCAAAATTCATTCCCCATTTGCTATTTACAGGGCCTAGCACGAGATGCTGGGTGAAGCATCAAGATATTATTGCCCTCAAGATTTTTTCTGAGGTAAGGAAAGACAGATACATGAAAAAGGATAAAAGAAAAGAACCTACAATAGAAGGCAGAATAAAATCAGTGTCCAAATGAGATATGTTATATTATGAATTAGAACAAACAGTTCAGAAACATGAGCAATGCAATGCATTCTAAGAGGACTGAGGGAGGTTGAAATACAATTTCTCTCAAGAGGGGGCACTTACGCAGTTTTGAGAAAGGAAAGGATGCACAGATGAAGGGGAGTGAGGAAGATGTGCAGGGTGAGGAGTCAGCATGAGCAAAGGCTGAGGTACAAAGGACAGGGTTTGTGTCTCCAGATCCTGTGTAGGTTGGATGGTGAGTGTGCGGCCAGGGTGGGAGGGGCGAGTAGAGGCAGCCTGGGAGACAAGCGTGTATCAAAGAGGAAAAGCAGATATAACGAGATCCCTGTGATGCTCACAGAAATGGTCCAGACTAGAGATGAAGATCCGAACTAGGGCGAACAGTGGCTTCACGCAGCCTCTTCTGAGAACAGAGGGCCTTTTCCCTGACGTTGTATTTGTACCAATGGTCCCACTGCCTCCCTTCTCTCAAGGATCCTGCTTTTCTGGTCTGTTCAGTCTCCTCCCCCTGGCTTGTAATTCACTGAGTCTTTGTCCTCTCGACCAATGGAAGTCTCTCCATTACTTCGAAAAAGAAAAAAAATGTTCAGCTTGCTTCAACTACCATCCCATAATCTTCTTCCTTAACCATTGGCCTTTGTTAGTAGAATCAGCTAGCCATGTTGTTCCCACGGCACACTGGACAAGTCCCCCAAGCCCTCAGTGTCTTCCCGCTCTCAGTCCTCTGACACCAGCTGCCCTCTCCCGGGCGCCAGCTGGGCCTCCGCAGGAGCAGAAATACCGTATGCAGAGGAGTAGGTCAAGCCTCACTATATTCTGCAGTAACGACTCGATGCTGGAGCCGGGAAACTTCATGTTAAGATGGGAGCTGAAAACAGAGGTTCTGAAGAAGAACCAGTACGTTAAGAGAAACGACTGAAAGGGAAGAGTCCATAACTGGGTAAGATGAAAACTTGTGAAAAGATGACCCGACGGAGTATAACTACAAGTTAGCTATTTGACAGGTCATTAATGCGGAAGAGAACTTAAGGAGGTGGAAGCAAATGAATTGCTATTACCTGAGAGCATAAAGGGCAGAATTCAGTGCAATACGAGGAAGTACATTTAAGCAGTCATTGTAAGAAAGTCACCTAAGAATGTTTATACAAAAACCGACGACTACATGTCTGAATTGTCTAAAGTTTTGATACTTGGAATGTGGTCCGTGAGTGGGAATCTCAGCAGCACCTGAGAGCCTGTGAGAAATGCAGACTCCTAGGCCCCATTCCAGACAATTAGTCAGAATCTGCATTTACCAAGACTCCCTGGAGATTCATCTGCTGGTGAAGTCTGAGAATCACTGGCTTAAGGGAGTCTTGAAATAAGATAGAAGGAAATGAATTGGTTCTTGTGGTTTCTCTTCAAATATTAATTTATGGAAAACAATTCGCTATTCCAGAGATCTGAAAGTTGTTCATCCACTTCCCGCCTAGTAGGCCAAAATACTGTTAACTGGTTTCATAGCCTCACCTTTCAAGTGTAGTTTTTAAAATCCAGCAGCCAAAGCTATGCAAATATTTCAAATATTAATTTCTTTTATTAATGCAAATGTTAAAAACTGAGTTAAGGTAGCTTACAATGGTATGTTTACAATATAGCATTAAACAAATTGGTGAAAAGAAAAATGTTTCAGGAGAAAAATAAGGGTAGAAAAGCACACTGATTTTCTATGGCTGGTATTTAAAATACATAATCATGACTCCTAACCACTTTTTAATTAAGGGCTAGGTTTGATTCCAAATTTTCTATCAGCCAGCTCAAACCGTGGTATCTTCCACAGTGCACATCTAGAATGCATTGATTAATGACTCTAAGCATGTATAAAAGACACTATTTTAAAGATACTCAAAATGTTGAATAGAAGATTTATGCTTTATACTAAATTGATTTTAAGACTTTCTATTTTGCTTTTTAAAACATTCTAATGAATCGCACTTAATTTTCTTTTCCAGGCAGCCTACACAGTGCAACTCAATGCTGGTAAGTAGTAAAGAGACATTCACATCAAAAACAAGACTTAAAATAAGACAAAAAATGGAACTTACCAAACAGATTTCCTAAACTTGCATCCATTTTTATTTCAAATACTTGAGAAATAACATAAAACGTCAATAAAAATACTGCCACAGCTATCACCAGCTTTGCAGCACCTACAGAAAGAGCAGAAAGCAGCTTATGAGCCCACAGTTCTTTTATGTAATATTTCAATGAAAAGTGTAAGTTCATTTAAAAAATTTTTAAGACTAATACATTTTTACTTTTTTACCTACTGAGCTTAATTTTACTTGAGTTTCAACAAAAACTGTACCAACCACCCATCAAAATAAAGGATTTTCCTATCAGACTGACCAGCAATCTAGACAAAGAACTGCTTGAGTCACCTGCCTAATATTACATTTAAAAAAAAAAAAAAAGACCTGCCATCAACTGGTGGCCGACTACATGAAGTATCATGGCTAATGGAAGCCTGCCACTAAGTTTGTTGGATGACCCCTTCCTAATCCTTTTCAAACATGATGGGGAACAGTTCTATACAGGGATAACACCAAAGCCCTGGACCTTCTAGAGCTACTGATGTAACACACATGATGTCCACCCAGCAAGGAGCTCTCAAGAGAAATGTCCTATCACCAGCCAACCTGTCTCCTGGAGACACATGAGTGCTCCTGGGATGGGAACCAAAGAGTGTAAGTAGCCTCAGACTGGATACTCAGTGTAGGACAGGCCTCCTCCACTGCTGGGTAACGTCAGCCGGCACCCATCACATCTGATTCACAATGTGGTTCCAGAGTAAGTTCTATGAAGACAGACTCTTAGTCTTTTATGACTTCACATTTTTAACCATTCCTGAGTGCCTTACAAATAGTTAGCACTGCTACTAACTAATTAACTGCTTAATATGAACCATCATTTGTCCTTTTTCTCAGAGGCTAAGTAAATCTAGGAAAGAGAAAGTGCAAGACAGGAAAGGAAATGGAAAGTGATGGGAAAGAAACATCTTCCTCTCACCCTTGGGATTGCAGAGCCATCTCATTAGGTTATTCAGGAACAATCTAAGTATCTGTCTGTCTAATCTCAATTACCCTCTCTTACCAAAAGTTTAACTTATTTACATATATAAAAGGCTAATATGCAAAGTGTCCCCTGGGGAGATCGACCGGAAGTTCAATCGCTCACTATGATGTGCACTGACCCCCAGGGGGTGGTACGGAACACAGAGGGCGACCAGTGGCGGGGCAAGGGAAGGAGGAGGAGGGGAGGCAAGGAGGCAGGAAACCTGAGCAACCCTGATCACCGGCCAGGCCTAGGGCCCCGCCCTGTGCACAAATTTCATGCACTGGGCCTCTAGTATTGATGTAAAAGAGGAAGTCAGGATCATCAGTTATCTCATTCTCTTTAAGGAAACAAAGGTCCAGAGATGAAGCAACTGCCCAAGATTACAGACCATTTAGTGGCAGCACAAGAACCAGACACCGGGGGTCCTAACAGGGCCCAGTGCTTTGTAAAGTACTCTGTCACCAAATGATTATGGTCTCCTGAAAAACCATTAACACTCAACTCACTGGGAAAGAAAGAGTAAAACAGTACTGTACTCCTCCTAACTTCATAAACCTACAGATGCGCGAATTCCATCCTTAAGAGGAGGGAGGAAAATGAACTGGGATGCTTGGAAAGGCGAATGATTCTAGAGAGGCAGCAGTTTCTCAGAGCTCCTCGTCTCTACTGAGAAACACTCCGTATGAAGAAAGGCAGGGGCAATGAGAGAACAAAGCCTAACCACTACCCCAATCAACCTCGACCCTCCGTTTCTTATCGTCTCCCTTCCAAAAACTGTGCTTCCTGTCTTTAAGAGTGACTACAAGATGTCTACATTTCTGGAGCCTAAGACAGTAAAATTCCACAAGGCTTTGAACCTTCCCCTGTGCAGGATGCGGCTGAGTGCCTGGCACATAGTAATACTCTCAGCAAGTGTTTACTAAATAGATGAATGGAACAGGTGGCATCCTTCCCGATCAGTTAAGACCTCTATCACATGATGAGTTAACATCTCATTTCCTAGCAAGCATGGGCAGGTGCAACTAGAGATCACCTTTCCCTGGCCCTTAAAGCAGACAGGTAAAACCTTCGTTGCTCAAGACTGTACTGTTAAAATAGCAAGTTTATAATACATGGAAGTTCTAGAATGAATTCAATACTAAGCTAAACTGGAGCCTACACTAAGCAAAAAATTAAAAAAAATTAAAAAATACACACACACACACACACACACACACAAATCTACATACCATAAACACAGATGCACAGACATATACCATTTACTGATTGCCTACTATAAAGCTAAATGCTTCATAAACATAATCTCATTTGCACACATTTTTAAGATAGTATTTTCCTTTTTAACAAATAAGAGGGACAAGGCTAAGAATTTTGACCACTTGCCTAAGTTTACATAACTCATCGGTAGTAGAATTCATTCTTAAACCATGACATAGTCACTTATACTGGACCATCAGAGGATCTAGGACACAAAAGCTCTAAAGGAGAAAGCAGCTCAAGGGGGACAAACCAACGGTAATAGAACAAGCAGGTGGTCCCTGAGCAGCAGGCAGGGGAAGGCTGGCAGAGCCTCCGCAATGGCAGAGTTCGGGGGGGGGGGGGGGGGGGGTGTGCTATGGAGCTCTTCCAGAGCTGGTCACCATGCGATGCTGAACTTGGATGGGCCTCCCCATCCACACCACAGTTCTCATTCCTAACTTCCCATGAGATCCCCTCTTCCTTCTAGCCCTGAGCTGCACTAATCAAACTGCAGAGTGAGTGTGTCCCTATCTTTTCACAAATCAAAAAGCATGGACTTTAGATACTGATGCCTCACTGTATGAAAATGACTATAAGCATATTTCAAAGCAACCAGAATGGTTTTTAAAATTAGAAGAATTAGCTAAAACAGGTTTGGCTCAGTGGATAGAGCATCAGCCTGCGGACTGAAAGGTCCCGGGTTCGATTCCGGTCAAGGGCATGTACCTTGGTCACGGGCACATCCCTCATGGAGGGTGTGCAGGAGGCAGCTGATCGATGATTCTCTCTCATCGATGTTTCTAGCTCTCTATCCCTCTCTCTTCCTCTCTATAAAAAAATCAATAAAATATATTTAAAGTTAGAAGAATTAGTTGGAAAGCAATAAACTAACAGCTCCTCTTCCTTATTCACTCATTGAAAGCAAGGCCATGAAGAACTACACTAAGAACAGAGAAAAACATGAAATAAGCATCACTCAGTGAATAATTACTCATCAATTAGCCTTGTAGCAATGGTCAGAATCAGAGAAATGGACTAGATGACAAGTCCATTTGAACTAGAATGAATGCAGAATTATGTGAGCAAGGGAAATCTGCTTTGATTATTTCAAATAACCATGCTTAGTTAATAATATACTTTGAAAATCATCTGGAAATATGTAATTGCAATCCTACTGTACTCAAAGTTTTTTGTTAAAAAGAAAAGACGTTATAATTTTTTAAAATCACAAACAAGCACTTGGTTTCTGGAAAGATTTTTCTTTAGCAGTTGTACAGTTACTCAAAAATAATTTTTTTTTTGTAAGTTCATGAACAAGAGATCTAGATTTTCAAATTTCTACAAAAGCATTAGTGAACACCCCTCAGTAATCTTTGCTTAATAATCATGATGTTTAATCACCTGTACTTGATTCTACGTAATTATGGCTAAAGCAAGACTTGTTTGTCCACCCACCTTGATTTTAGGTTCTTCTAAGACAGTGTTTCCCAAACTTTTGACATATGTGTACCTCTTCTATAATTGTCATAACGCTGAGTACCCTTCATACTCATGAGAACGTAGAATTAGGCGCAGCTAAGCACGGTGCAGTGCATATCCCCACCAAACTCCGGTGCAACGCGTACCCCCACCAAACTCTTCCCGTACCCCTGGGGGTACACGAACCACACTTTGGGAAACACTGCAGCAGGGAAAACAAAAACTAAGTACTGGCTATAGATGCTCCCTTAGGAAAATATTTTGTTTGTGGGCAAGAAGAAGATAACTAAAAGAATAACTATCTTGATTTTGAGAATTACAAGTTATCGCCTATGTTGGACACACACTCAGAAATTTCTATGTAAAGTGTCCACTTCTTAAGAAACAGATGTGCCTATGCATATTGTCATTTAAGCAGACTGAACTTGAATTAGCAGAGTGCGGCAAAAGTAGGTTTACAGTTGTGAGTACATGAAACACTGTTCTTGTGTTATTTATTAATAATGGTATTATTTTCCATATGAACAACCATAAACTACTTTTGCCCCACCCTGTATGTAAGTCACATGAAAAACACAATCTATTGAATCCTTTACAGTTTTAATTTATTCATATGCATTAAAAATGTTGAAGCTTTTAAACTTTATTGCTCATTTTCCTCAACAAGCTAGAACTTAACAAAAACAGATACCAGCCTCCTAAGGTTGTCAGATTGTTCTTTATATGGACATTATTTATGTATTATTTAGTAAATAAACTTATTATATAAGAATATGAACATTAAAGCCATGATTTAAAACATTTAGCATAAATAATTTCAATGAAAGTGCTCCCAAACACTTATGTAACACCCATTAATGTCCAAATTGTGATTAGTCATCTACATAAGAAAGTAAAAAAGCTAGCCCTGGCCAGTGTGGCTCAGTGGCTGAGCATGGACCAGGAGCTCATAGTTCGATTCGGTTCGATTCCCAATCAGGATATATGCCCAGGTTGCGGGCTCCATCCCTAGTGGGGGGTTGGGGAGATGCAGGAGGCAGCCAATCAATGATTCTCTCTCATCATTGATGCTTCTTATCTCTCTCTCTCTCTCTCTCTCTCTCTCTCTCTCTCTCTCTCTCTCTCTCTCTCTCTCTCCCCCTCCCTCCCTTTCTCTCTTTCGCCCTCTCTCTCCCTCTCCCTCTCCCTGCCTCTTTGAAATCAATGAAAAAAATTGAGTAAATAAAAGGCTACACTGGCTGGCATGGCTCAATGGTTAGAACTTAGGCCCATGAACTGAAGAGTCTCAGATTTGACTCACCTACCCCACTCTGAGTAAGTGCAGGAGGCAGCCAACCAATAAGTCTCTCACAATGACATTTCTCCCTCTCTCCCTCCCTTTCTCTCTCTCTCTCTCTCTCTCTCTCTCTCTCTCTCTCTCTCTCTCTTTCCCCCTCCCTCCCTCCCTCCCCTCCTCCCTCCCACTTTCTCTAAAAATCAATGAAAAAACACCCTTGAGTGAGGATTAACAACAACAAAAATATATAAAGAGGCTAACTGATTAGTTTGTTGTATTTCAGCTTTGCATCCAATATAGAAAAAGATTATTTATCCCCCCCCCTTTCACCCTTACTAATCAAACAGGTTACACAACAAGCAAAATTATTTCTACAGAGTTGACATATTGTCTTACCTGCTACCCTCATGTTTGGTTTTTTAGTCTTTGGCACTCTTCATTAAAGAAGCTCCTAAAATCAAAAGAAAAGGCAAAAGCATTAGATCCAGAAGGAACACTCCCCCTCAGGCTGAGTTTGGAGTGTATTTATTAAACTAAGCGTCACCACATTTCTACGGTCCCCACTGGCAACTAATGGGAAACCTGTCCCTGGGTCTGTCTCCTTCGGCCGGACCATGCTGCCTCTGTGAGCGAGGCGTGTCTTCCTGAACAGCACGAGGGGAAAACTGCCACCAGGTTTGTGAAGAGAAGACAATGCCTTACTCCCCTCAGTGAGTCTGCATCCATGAGGAACTTTCCGTGTGAAGTTGAGGTCCACAGAGGTTCAGATGCTTTCCCAGTGATGGGACAAATTAACTGGAGAATGGGGCTGGGCGCTGGGTCTGTGCCTCCCACTCCGGAGCTCACTCCACTCCGTAATGCCACCTACAACACTTATTTATTTAACGTCAGGGTTCTCTTCCTCTTCCTGTTTTCCATGTAAGTGTGTAAAAGAGCACATTCGGAAGTAGAGAATTACAATTTTAAATATTCCAGCAAGTATTATTTATAGTGTGTATCCCTCAATGAAGAAATTACCGTTTGGTATTATCTTACTAACAAGAAAGAGATACTAGGAAAAAAAACCTGTGTATGTATATTTCCCTCCTAAGAAAAATCTCAAAATAGGAGGGGGGGGGGGGAATTTAAGCAAATGGAAAAGCAAGTAAATGAGTTTGACAGGAAATTTTAAAAAGCAAATGGAAAAAAACAAATGACTGAAATGAACAGGAAATGCATGCCCAAGTTTAGCTGAGCAGCTAACTGCAGCCTACTCAGTCTATTGTACAGGAAAGGAATTCAAAAGAAAATTTTGATTAATGAATCACATTAATAAAAAATGCATTGTTAATATCACTTATCCTTTTGGCTAAGGTCAAGTATAAAAATACATCTTTATTTTAGACTGTATTTTCATAGTGATGTTTTGATGAAGTCTGACCTAATAATACATAGATTCTGCTTCAAATAAAATGATGCCCAACCCCTGAAGGACAGTGAAAGGAAGCGAGACACCAGTTTCTTTTTCACTCAGGAGCACAGGTGAACATCCAAGGAGTCAATGCCATTATGCGAACTCTTTCTCCTGCCCTATCTACCCTGTTTTAAGAAAACATCAACACTTGAATGAATGCTGAACTAAGCATTGATTTATTTCCTTTGTCAGTTATCTGAACACCTTCTACATAATAGGAAAAGTCACTTAAGTGTAAGTGGAATCTAATGAACAAATTAAACTGACAAACAAAATAGATCCAGAGACATGGAAGCATGGATCAGATTGACATATCTCAGAGGCAAGGGCAGGGGAAAGAGATTAACCCAAGTATTTATATGCATAAATAACCCATGGACGTGGACAGAGAGTATAGTGTGGGGAAGGCCTGGGCAGGTCAATGAGGAAAAATGGGACATCTGTAATACTTTCAACAATAAAGATAAATATTTTAAAAAGTCAATGTTCTATATCTGTTTACATTACTTAGCCACAGGCTTGGATAATGCCAAAAGGAAAGAAGAGATTCTGAAATATCCACAAACCATCCCATAAAAGCAGAAACAAACAAACAAACAAAAAAACCCTTGGCTTTTCACATGAAAAGCCCAAGTGGTTACAAATCCCCTTTTGACTCCTAGGAAAAATGGATACTGTGCTCACATGTCTTTCCTCCCAGCTAATGCTCCAAAGCAACTTCACTCTTATCCCAGTGTGACCCAGGGAGCTTTCTTTGAAAGTATGATAAGCAGTTGGGCAAATAAATACACTTCCTGTTCCTTTTACCGTTTCCATTACCTGCTAGGGGGCCACTCTGTATGATTAAAGTCACTGCCCCATCCGCCTGCTATCTCTTTGCACTGCCTAGCAGGCCTGCTTCCAACCTGATCACTGGTAAGGCTGCAATTATAAGCAACTACAACTATCTTGCTGAATTCAGATTTTCCATTAAATTTATCAGAGAAGAACACTTGCTAAAATCTCAAAATTAAAGTCTTATCAAATGTCAGTAATAACACAATTTTAATTAGTTTGCTTAAGAAGCAAATCGGGCCTGGCCAGCGTGGCTCAGTGGTTGAGAGTTGACCTAAGAACCAGGAGGTCACAGTTCAATTCCCAGTGTACATCAATCCCTAGTGTGGGGAGTGCAAGAAGCAGTCAATCAATGATTTGCTCTCATCATCGATGTTTCTCTCTCTCCCTCTCCCTTCCTCTCTGAATCAATAAAAACATTTTTTATAAAAAGAAGCTAATTAATTATGTAAGAGAGTAAATGAGCATAAGATAAGGAAAGATTATTGAACATATCTAGGAGCAAATCAAGGAGCATCAGTTTACGATGTGTGAATTCAAACTTGTTCCTAACTTGTCTTCTTAAGAGGATATTCAAAAAACAAGGAAAACATGCCCAGGCCAGGTAGGTCAGTTGATTAGATCATTGTTCCCATCCACCAAGGCTGTAGGTTTGATTCCCTATCAAGGCACATACAAGAAGCAGCCAATGAATGCGTAATTAAGTGGAACAACAAATCAGTTTCTCCCTCTCTCTCTCTCTCTCTCTCTCTCTCTCTCTCTCTCTCTCTCTCTCTCTCAAGTAAATAAATAAATAATAAATAAAAAGTAAGTAAATACAAGGAAATTCATTACACATAATTATCTTGGGGGGAGAGGGGGCAGGCAGCAAAGACTTAATGGGATCTTGTATAAACCTGAGGCTGAGCCTCCAGCCACCAGGTAGGAATTAAGTCCAAGAAAATGAACACCAGGGTAAGAAGCCTCTGCTAGAAACTCCAATCTCTGTAATCCAGAAGCTACAGGTAAAATAATTTATAATTTTTCGTGTATGCTCATTAAAAGGTAGAGATAAAAATTAGATCCATTTACCACAACTAGAATATTGATGGTATGGAACAATGTTTTTAGGGCAGATTACAGCAAAAACCACAAAAAGCAACATTGACAGTACATCTGTGAAACACATACAGGCCAAAACAACAAGCTTTTGAGTGGTGTAGATAATGACTGAGCCAAACCCTGTTGCTAACATGTGAAGTGCACGGTCACCTGAGCCCACCGAGGGAAGGTCACCGTGACCTCGGGGCAGGGAGACACAGTTCTGGATCCACACTGACTGAGCACGTGGCCCAGCCCTGGCCCGGAGAGAGAGGAAATCAGGGCCTCCAAATGACATACTGGATTGCTTTCAATGTCTCATCATTTAAACACTTCTTTAGCCCAATTACCTACTTTCATCTAATTTAGGGTAGTTTTGTGAACATTGGGCCTGAAGAAGCAGGTATTGTCCTAGAATCAATCAAATTCAGGAAAAACAGTCAAATACCCAGATCAAGCCATATTTTCATTCTTTCCTTGAGAAATGGACTCCTGCTACAGCGTGTGAATTATACCTAAACAAAATGAGCCATAAAAATAATCATTTACCAGGGGAAGGCCTCGGCAGTGCACATAAACCAGGTAATACGATGCAGGCAGCAGAGTGATTCACGCACATTCTTCTTTTATGTAATCTTCCCAATAGCTCTCTAGTGTAGAGGGTATTAGGATGGAATTATAAATGAGGTCAAGGGATTTGTCTAAGGTCGTGTGAAGGGCAAGAAGCTAATACTACAAACCAATCCACTTCCCTTTCACCCCAGCAGCTCACTGAGATAGTCTGATATAAGAGCCTGTTGACAAAACTCCGGGCCAATCAATCTTGCTTTTGCAAATTGCTCTGGGAACTGCTAATCTCTGCTGCCAGCAACCACTTCAGGGATCTGACAAAATGACTTAGCATGGTGTCTGAGGACCTTCCTCAAAGACTGGAAGAACAGAAGAAAGTGAAGCACACAAACACATCCACTGACTTATTTCATTTTTGTGCTGTTGTTAACCCTCACCTGAGGATATTTTTTCTTTGGTTTTTAAGAGAGAGTGGGAGGAAGGAAGGGGAGAGGGAGGGGAGGGGAGAGAGAGTGAAACATCGATGTGAAAGGCACATCACTGGTCGCCTCCCTCACCTGCCAGGACCAGGACCAGAGATGCAAATTAAAACTACAGCCCGGCCAGCGTGGCTCAGGGTTGAGTATCAACCTTTGAACCAGGAGGTAATGGTTCCATTTCCCATCAGGGCACAGTCTGGATTGCAGGCTTGATTCTACTATAATACTAGTAGAGGCCATGCAGGAGGCAGCCAATCAATGATTCTCTCTCATCACTGATGTCTCTATCGCTCTCTCTCCCTCCCTTCCTCTCTGAAATCCATAAAAATATTTTTTAAGTTAAAAACACAATCAAGTATCACCTCACACCTGCCAGAATGGCTACCATCAATAAATCAACAAACAGCAGTTCTATGAGGATGTGGAGAAAAGGGAATCCTAGAACACTTGCTGGTGGGAATGCAGAGAAGTGCAGCCACTGTGGAGAACAGTATGGAGTTTCCTCAAAAAAACTAAAAATACAACTGTCATTTGATCCAGGGATCCCACTTCAGAGAATGCATCCTAAGAATCCCGATACACCCATCAGAAAGAATCTGTGCACCCCTATGTTCACAGCAGAGCTATTTACAACAGCTAAGATGGAAACAGCCCAGTCCCCATCAGCAGATGAGTGGATAAAAATCCTGTGGTACATTTACACCATGGATCACTATGCAGCTGTAAAAAAGAATACTCTCTTACCCTTTGAGACAGCATGGAGGGACCTGGAGAGCATTATGCTAAGTGAAATAAGCCAGTCAGAGAAAGACAAATATCACATGATCTCACTCATAGGTGGAATCCAACGAACAACATAAACTGACAAACAAAATAGATCAGAGACATGGAAGCATGGGTCAGACAGACACATTTCTGAGAGAAGGGAAGTGAGGGCTGAGAAAAGATTAACCAAAGAACTTGCATAGCCCATGGACCCACACATTAGTGGGT